AACCTACAAAAATAAATCCCATTTGCAGCAATATTGAGGACATTATGAGATTGCACCGACAATCTATAAACCAGCAAAACCCTTTATTGGCTTTCTATAATATAGAGGATTTCATTAGATGATTCCGGCCGGGATCGAACTAATCTGCTTAATACGCAGAAGGCCGCCGGTTCGATCCCCGGCCGGAATCATCTAATGATATCCTCTATATTTATCAAAACGAATAAACAATGAATCTTACATCACATCGATTACATTATCACATCTGCTTAACACGCAGAAGGCCGCCGGTTCGATCCCGGCCGGAATCTAATGAAATCCTCTACATTTATTCAAAACCAATAAAGGGTTTTGGTGGTTTATTGACTGTCGGTGCAATCTCGCGATGAATCATACATCGAAGTCTTCAGTATTTATTCTAAGCTTTTATTAAATATTGGCGATGTGTGCTACAAATGCGTTTTATTTTTGTAGGTTCCGTGGTGTGGTGGTTATCACATCTGCTTCACACGCAGGAGGCCGCCGGTTTGATCCCAGCCGGAATCATCTAATGAATCCTCTATACTTATTTAAATCTAATGAAGGATTTTGGTGGTTTATTGACTGTCGGTGCAATCTCACGATGGATACATCGAAGTCTTCAATACTTATTGGGAGCGTTCCGTGGTGTAGTGGTTATCACATCTGCTTAATACGCAGAAGGCCGCCAGTTCGATCCCGGCCGGAATCATCTAATGATATCCTCTACATTTATCAAAACGAATAAAGGGTTTTTGGTGGTTTATTGTTTGTCGGTGCAATCTCATGATGAATCTTACATCACATCGATTACATTATCGCATCTGCTTAACACGCAGAAGGCCGCCGGTTCGATCCCGGCCGGGATCATCTAATGAAGTCCTCGATATTTATCAAAACGAATAAAGGGTTTTTGGTGGTTTATTGATTGTCGGTGCAATCTCATAATGTCCTCAATATTGCTGCAAATGGGGTTTATTTTTGTAGGTTTCGTGGTGTAGTGGTTATCACATCTGCTTAATACGCAGAAGGCAGCCGGTTCGATGCCGGCCGAAATCATCTAATAAAATCCTCTATAGTTATTCAAATCCAATGAAGGCTTTTGGTGATTTATTGACTGTCGGTGCAATCTCACGATGGATATATCGAAGTCTTCAATATTTATTCGGAGCTTTTATTAAATATTGGCGATGAGAGCTATAAAAGCGTTTTGTTTTTGTTGGTTCCTTGGTACAGTGGTTATCACATCTGCTTAACACGCAGAAGGCCGCCGATTCGATCCCGGCCGGAATCATCTAATGAAATCCTCTATATTTATTAAAATGAATAAACAGTTTTGGTGGTTTATTGATTGTCGGAGCAATGTTATGATGTCCCCAATATTGCTGAAAATGGGATTTATTTTTGTAGGTTCCGTGATGTAGTGGTTATCACATCTGCTTAACACGCAGAAGGCCGCCGATTCGATTCCGGTCAGAATCATCTAATGAAATCCTCTTTATTTATTCAAATCCAATGAAGGCTTTTGGCGGTTTATTGACTGTCCGTGCAATCTCGCGATGAATCATACATCGAATTCTTCAGTATTTATTCTAAGCTTTTATTAAATATTGGCGATGTTTGTTACAAATGCGTTTTATTTTTGTAGGTTCCGTGGTGTAGTGGTTATCACATCTGCTTTACACGCAGAAAGCCGCCGGTTCGACCCCTTGGTTTTGGTGGTTTATTGATTGTCGGTGCAATCTCATAATGTCCTCAATATTGCTGCAAATGGGATTTATTTTTGTAGGTTTCATGGTGCAGTGGTTATCACATCTGCTTAAGACGCAGAAGGCAACCGGTTCGATCCCGGCCGGAATCATCTAATGAAATCCTCTATGTTTATTCAAATCCGATGAAGGTTTTGGTGGTTTATTGACTGTCGGTGCAATCTCACGATGGATACATCGAAGTCTTCAATATTTATTCGGAGCTTTTATTAAATATTGGCGATGCGAGCTATAAAAGCGTTTTGTTTTTGTAGGTTCCGTGGTGTAGTGGTTATCACATCTGCTTAACACGCAGAAGGCCGCCGGTTTGATCCCGGCCGGAATCATCTAATGAAATCCTCTATATTTATTAAAATGAATAAAGAGTTTTGGTGGTTTATTGATTGTCGGAGCAATTTTATGATGTCCTCAATCTTGCTGCAAATGGGATTTATTTTTGTAGGTTCCGTGATGTAGTGGTTATCACATCTGCTTCACACGCAGAAGGCCGCCGGTTCGATCCCGGTCGGAATCATATAATGAAATTCTCTATATTTATCAAAACGAATAAAGGGTTTTGGTGGATTATTGATTGTCGGTGCAAGCTCATGATGTCCCCAATATTGCTGCAAATAGGATTTATTTTTGTAGGTTCCGTGTTGTAGTGGTTATCACATCTGCTTAACACGCAGAAGGCCGCCGGTTCGATCCCGGCCGAAATCCTCTAATGAAATCCTATATATTTATTCAAAGCCAATAATGGGTTTTTTGTTGTTTATTGATTGTCGTTGCAACACCATGGTAAATCATATATCAAAGTCCTCAATATTTAATCTAAGCTTTTATTAATATTGGCGATGCGTGCTGCAAATGCGTTTTATTTTTGTAGGTTCCGTGGTGTAGTGGTTATCACATCTGCTTAACACGAAGAAGGCCGCCGGTTCGATCCCGACCTGTATCATCTAATGAAATCCTCTATATTTATTCAAAACCAATGAAGGTTTTTGGTGGTTTATTGATTGTCGGTGTAATTCCATGTTAAATCATGCATCAAGTCCTTAATATTTATTCAAAGATTTTATTAAATATTGGCGATGCGTGCTACAAATGCGTTTTATTTTTGTAGGTTCCGTGGTATGGTGGTTATCACATCTGCTTCACACGCAAAAGCCTCCATTGGATTGTGATAACCACTACACCACGGAACCTACAAAAATAAATCCCATTTGCAGCAATATTGAGGACTTTATGAGATTGCACCGAAAATCAATAAAACATCAAAACCCTTTATTCGTTTTGATAAATATAGAGGATTTCATTAGATGATTCCGGCCGGGATCGAACCGGCGGCCTTCTGCGTGTCAAGCGGATGTGATAACCACTACACCACGCAACCTACAGAAATAAACCCCATTTGCAGCAATATTGAGGATATCATGAGATTGCACCGACAATCAATAAACCAACAAAACCCTTTGTTCGTTTTGATAACTATAGAGGATTTCATTAGACGATTCCGGCCGGGATCGAACCGGCGGCCTTCTGCGTGTTAAGCAGATGTGATAACCACTACACCACGGAACCTAAAAAAATAAAACGCATTTGCAGCACGCATCGCCAATATTTAATAAAAGCTTAGATTAAATATTAAAGACTTTGATGTATGATTTATCATCGTATTGCAACGACAATCAATAAACCACCAAAACCCATTATTGGCTGTGAGTAAATATATAGGATTTTATTAGATGATTCCGGCCGAGATCGAACCGGCGAAACCTACAAAAATAAAACCCATTTGTAGCACGGATCGCCAATATTTAATAAAAGCTCCGAATAGATATTGAAGTGAGATTGCACCGACAGTCAATAAACCACCAAAAGCCTTTATTGGTTTTGAATAAATATAGAGGATTTCATTAGATGATTCCGGCCGGGATCGAACCGGCGACCTTCTGCGTGTGAAGCAGATGTGATAACCACTACACCACGGAACCTACAAAAATAAAACGCATTTGCAGCACGCATCGCCAATATTTAATAAAAGCTTAGATTAAATATTGAGGACTTTGATGTATGATTTATCATGGTATTGCAACGACAATCAATAAACCACCAAAACCCATTATTGGCTTTGAATAAATATATAGGATTTCATTAGATGATTCCGGCCGGGATCGAACCGGCGGCCTACTGCGTGTTAAGCAGATGTGATAACCACTACACCACGGAACCTACAAAAATAAAACGCATTTGTAGCACGCATCGCCAATATTTAATAAAAGCTCCGAATAAATATGGAAGACTTCGATGTATCCATCGTGAGATTGCACCGACAGTCAATAAACCACCAAAAGCCTCAATTGGATTTGAATAAATATAGAGGATTTCATTACATGATTCCGGCCGGGATCGAACCGGCGGCCTTCTGCGTGTGAAGCAGATGTGACAACCACTACTACACCACGGACCCCACAAGAATAAATCCCATTTGCAGCAAGATTGCGGACTTTATGAGATTGCACCGAAAATCAGTAAACCACCAAAACCATTATTATCGTTTTGATAAATATAGAGGATTTCATTAGATGATTCCGGCCGGGATCGAACCGGCGACCTTCTGCGTGTGAAGCAGATGTGATAACCACTACACCAAGGAACCTACAAAAATAAATCCCATTTGCAGCAATATTGAGGACATCAAGAGATTGCACCGACAATCAATAAACCACCAAAACCCTTTATTTGTTTTGATAAATATAGAGGATTTCATTAGATGATTCCGGCCGGGATCGAACCGGCGGCCTTCTGCGTGTTAAGCAGATGTGATAACCACTACACCACGGAACCTACAAAAATAAAACGCATTTGTAGCACGCATCGCCAATACTTAATAAAAGCTCCGAATAGATATTGAACACTTCGATGTATCCATCGTGAGATTGCACCGACAGTCAATAAACCACCAAAAGCCTTTATTGGTTTTGAATAAATATAGAGGATTTCATTAGATGATTCCGGCCGGGATCGAACCGGCGACCTTCTGCGTGTGAAGCAGATGTGACAACCACTACATCACGGACCCCACAAAAATAAATCCCATTTGCAGCAATATTGCGGACTTTATGAGATTGCACCGAAAATCAGTTAACCACCAAAACCACTTATTCGTTTTGATAAATATAGAGGATTTCATTAGATGATTCCGGCCGGGATCGAACCGGCGACCTTCTGCGTGTGAAACAGATGTGATATCCATTACACCACGGAACCTACAAAAATAAAACGCATTTGCAGCACGCATCGCCAATATTTAATAAAAGCTTAGATTAAATATTGAGGACTTCGATGTATGATTTATTATGGTATTGCAACGACAATCAATAAACCACCAAAACCCTTTATTCGTTTTGATAAATATAGAGGATTTCATTAGATGATTCCGGCCGGGATCGAACCGGCGACCTTCTGCGTGTGAAGCAGATGTGATAACCACTACACCACGAAACCAAACCAATACAAAAATAAAACGCATTTGCAGCACGTATCGCCAATATTTAATATAAGCTTAGAATAAATATTGAAGACTTCGAGGTATGATCCATTGTGAAAGTGCACCGACAGTCAATAAACCACCAAAAGCATTCACTGGATTTGAATAAACATAGAAGATTTTATTAGATGATTCCGCTGGGATCGACCGGCGGCCTTCTGCGTGTTAAGCAGATATGATAACCACTATACTACGGAACCTACAAAGTAAAACGCATTTGCAGCAATATAGACGACATTGATGTAAGATTCATCATGAGATTGCACCGACAATCAATAGACCACCAAAACCCTTCATTCCTTTTGATAAATATAGAGGATATCATTAGATGATTCCGGTCGGGATCGAACCGGCTGCCTTCTGCGTGTCAAGCAGATATGATAACCACTACATCACGAAACCTAAAAAATAAATCCCATTTGCAGCAATATTGAGGACATCATGAAACTGAACCGACAATCAATAAACCACCAAAACCTTTTATTCATTTTGATAAATATAGAGGATTTCATAAGATGATTCCGGCCGGGATCGAACCGGCGGCCTTCTGCGTGTAAAGCAGATGTGATAACCACTACACCACGGAACCTACAAAAATAAATCCCATTTGCAGCAATATTGAGGACTTTATGAGATTGCACCGACAATCAATAAGCCACCAAAACCCTTTATTCGTTTTGATAAATATAGAGGATTTCATTAGATGATTCCGGCCGGGATCGAACCGGCGGCCTTCTGCGTGTAAAGCAGATGTGATAACCACTACACCACGGAACCTACAAAAATAAAACGCATTTGTAGCACACATCGCCAATATTTAATAAAAGCTTAGAATAAATACTGAAGACTTCGATAAAAAATAAAATAAAAATAAAACGCATTTGTAGCATGCATCGCCAATATTTAATAAAAGCTCCGAATAGATATTGAAGACTTCGATGTATCCATCGTGACATTGCACCGACAGTCAATAAATCACCAAAAGTCTTTATTGGCTTTGAATAAATATATAGGATTTCATTAGATGATTCCGGCCGGGATCGAACCGGCGGCCTTCTGCGTGTTAAGCAGATGTGATAACCACTACACCACGGAACCTACAAAAATAAAACGCATTTGTAGCACGCATCGCCAATATTTAATAAAAGCTCCGAATAAATATGGAAGACTTCGATGTATCCATCGTGAGATTGCACCGACAGTCAATAAACCACCAAAAGCCTCAATTGGATTTGAATAAATATATAGGATTTCATTAGATGATTCCGGCCGGGATCGAACCGGCGGCCTTCTGCGTGTTAAGCAGATGTGATAACCACTACACCACGGAACCTACAAAAATAAATCCCATTTGCAGCAATATTGAGGACTTTATGAGATTGCACCGAAAATCAATAAACCACCAAAACCCTTTATTCGTTTTGATAAATATACAGGATTTCATTAGATGATTCCGGCCGGGATCGAACCGGCGACCTTCTGCGTGTGAAGCAGATGTGATAACCACTACACCACGGACCCTACAAAAATAAATCCCATTTGCAGCAATATTGCGGACTTTATGAGATTGCACCGAAAATCAGTAAACCACCAAAACCATTTATTCGTTTTGATAAATATAGAGGATTTCATTAGATGATTCCGGCCGGGATCGAACCGGCGACCTTCTGCGTGTGAAGCAGATATGATATCCATTACACCACGGAACCTACAAAAATAAATCCCACGCGACCTTCTGCGTGTGAAGCAGATGTGATATCCACTACACCACGAAACCTACAAAAATAAAACGCATTTGCAGCACGTATCGCCAATATTTAATAAAAGCTTAGAATAAATATTGAAGACTTCGATGTATGATCCATTGTGAAAGTGCACCGACAGTCAATAAACCACCAAAAACCTTCACTGGATTTGAATAAACATAGAAGATTTTATTAGATGATTCCGGCTGGGATCGAACCGGCGGCCTTCTGCGTGTTAAGCAGATGTGATAACCACTATACCACGGAACCTACAAAAGTAAAACGCATTTGCAGCAATAATGAGGACATCGATGTAAGATTCATCATGAGATTGCACCGACAATCAATAGACCACCAAAACCCTTCATTCCTTTTGATAAATATAGAGGATATCATTAGATGATTCCGGTCGGGATCGAACCGGCTGCCTTCTGCGTGTCAAGCAGATATGATAACCACTACATCACGAAACCTAAAAAATAAATCCCATTTGCAGCAATATTGAGGACATCATGAACTGACCGACAATCAATAAACCACCAAAACCTTTTATTCATTTTGATAAATATAGAGGATTTCATAAGATGATTCCGGCCGGGATCGAACCGGCGGCCTTCTGCGTGTAAGCAGATGTGATACCACTACAACCACGGAACCTACAAAATAATCCCATTTGCAGCAATATTGAGGACTTTATGAGATTGCACCGACAATCAATAAACCACCAAAACCCTTTATTCGTTTTGATAAATATAGAGGATTTCATTAGATGATTCCGGCCGGGATCGAACCGGCGGCCTTCTGCGTGTAAAGCAGATGTGATAACCACTACACCACGGAACCTACAAAAATAAATCCCATTTGCAGCAATATTGAGGACTTTATGAGATTGCACCGACAATCAATAAACCACCAAAACCCTTTATTCGTTTTGATAAATATAGAGGATTTCATTAGATGATTCCGGCCGGGATCGAACCGGCGGCCTTCTGCGTGTAAAGCAGATGTGATAACCACTACACCACGGAACCTACAAAAATAAACCCCATTTGCAGCAATATTGAGGACATCATGAGATTGCACCGACAATCAATAAACCACCAAAACCCTTTATTCGTTTTGATAAATATAGAGGATTTCATTAGATGATTCCGGCCGGGATCGAACCGGCGGCCTTCTGCGTGTTAAGCAGATGTGATAACCACTACACCACGGAACCTACAAAAATAAAACGCATTTGTAGCACGCATCGCCAATATTTAATAAAAGCT